TGGTGCCTTTTTCGAGCTGCTAGGGTCTTCCAAGGCCTTACCACTCCTCAATGTCACTGCCACAACTTTAGCATCTTTTGGATTCCTCTCGGTATTAGCCGGTAATGTCCCAGGAATCCTGCCCTGCATATCCGCCAGAGTTTGAGCCATCTGTCCCATCTGCCTCTCCATAGCTAGCATAGAAGATTGTAAATTATTGTTGATGGCTAGCTGTTGAGTGACAAACTGATCCAGGCCCTTCAGATTGTTGTCAGTTTTCTGCATGTGAGCCAGAAGCAATTCTTCAAGTTGTGGTTTCTTCTCTGGTTGAGGTGGAGGTTGTTGTTTCTGCATGCCTGGAGGTGGAATGTTGCGAGCACCATTTGGGTTGTTGTTCGCCCAGGAAAAGTTAGGATGCTTCCTCCATTGTGGGTTGTAGGTATTCGAATACATACCACCATGGCCTTGATTTCTCTGATTGTTGATATAGTGCACATCTTCCACCTGATCAGCCACCAGTGGACATAGATCCCTATGATGAGCACCTTCGCATAATTCGCAATAAGCAACCTCCTCCTGTCTACCAAGAGCCAACTTAGCCAGCCTTCGTTCGAGTGCATCGAACTTGGAATCCAGCTTAGCATCAATTTTTGCTTCTAAGCTTGCAACTCTGTCTATCTCATGCAAGCCTCCTCTCCTTCGAATGCCGGTCTCACTACCCCATTCAGTATCTTCAGAGCATATCTTCTCCACCAGTTCATATGCTTCTGGTGCTTCCATTCTTGTGAAACCATTCCGGGAAGCATTGTTCAGAGCATCTCGGTATTGCCTTCTGATTCCGTTGAAGAAAATGGAGATCACGTTCCAATCTTCCAGACCGTGGCTCGGGCATCTCATCAGAAGCTCCTTATAGCGCTCCCATGCCTCGGTCAGACTTTCATCCTCAGCTTGTTTAAAAGTGACAATTTCCTCTTGCCTCTTCATTGCCTTGGCAGGAGGAAAGTACTTATCCAAAAAGGTCTTCTCAAGCTGACCCCATGTTGTGATGGAACGGGGTGTCAAGTTCTGGAACCAGTGGGATGCATTCCCTAGCAGAGAAAACGAGAACATCCGAAGACGGATGGCATCATCAGACACGGTTGGGCTCTTCATAGTATCACAAATGCTCGCGAACCGGCGAAGATGCTCATGAGGATCCTCACTGCTAGCCCCGGAGAAGGTGTACCCATTCGTGATCATATTGATGAAGGCTGGGGCAATCTCCATGTTTGCATCCCCAGCCGGAATGACAACACATGAAGCTCGGGCTCCAGTCCTCCGATTCAGACGAGCCCTGATCGAACGATCTTGTTCAGCCATGATGACAGGCTCGATGACGCGCGGCGGTGGTGTAGGTGGTGTAGGGATGACAGGTGGTGTCACCTGCCTTCTCGGTTGACGATTCTGAGTTAGGGAAGGCCTAGGAGTTGTGGATGTGGTAGGCTGCTTCCCTAACTGGACCTGCTTCCTGTTCTGTCGGCAGGTCCTCTCGATCTCGGGATCTAGTGGCAGTAAATTGCCAGTCGTCCTCCTTGGCATGCACGAGGAGGATTAGCCTGAAAAATTCACCTGCACACTAACACCCAGATCAAAACAGTTCACTCACAAAAATCAATAAAAATAAGGTATGGCAGTCCCCGGCAACGGCGCCAAAAAACTTGATAGGGCAAAAGCGCAATGCTTCAATTCCTACCTCGTAGTAAACCGGAAAGTCCGGGTATCGTCTCTCAGGGACTGGTACAACCTTAAGTTCTATCAATTTTTATTGAGCAAACTATATGTGAAAATGTTTAATGAGATGAAACTATGATCTACTAGCAAAGTAATTAAACAAAACAAGCAAATTAAAATGTCGGGTTTAAATCAATGGGAGAAAGCTCTGGGAGAAACACCGGGATTCACTACCTATCCTATCCAGATTAATTCACATATTCCAATCAATTTAATCCATACCTCTACAGCCAGGATATCACTACTGTGCTAGCTATCCCTGTCGGGAATTACTACGTACTAAATAATCAATTCAAATCCTACTGTCGTAGCTCAATGAATTAACTATCTAGCCTGAAGATCGATATCCTATTTAAGACCGCATAGCACCTTATTTAATCCACTGTCGCTTCGATAAGTTACTATGTCACATGAAATAGGTTCAGTTAATAGGGTTTCACTGTCGCTAATAACCTAATTAACTACAAATCAATGTATTGGTGGCCAGTCAACACAAAGCATTAAGAAATTCCATGCAATAGAGATTGGAGGAAAAGAAATATGAATCAATCCATCAAATCAAGAAAAAGCTACCTCCTATGGTGTTTCCCCCAGAAATTGGGGTTTAGTTCATGACGAAATTAAGATAAATCGATAGGGTTTTGTTCATCATGTTCTAAAACAACAAGAAACAACTAATTAGGTTTAGAAAATCCAACCAACTAATCGCTCTCGTTGAACTCAGCTCAAACCTTGAAGAACTGATCGCCAATTGTCGATCCGCTCCTGCTGCGCGCTGCTGATTCTTTGCTCCGCTTTTTCCCCCAGAGAATTTTCGTTCTCCACTTTCTCAAATTCTGTTCGTCTCCTCTTTTATTTCCGCCGCCTTTCTTTTATTTTTTTCTTTTCCAATTCCGCCCTCAAAATCCTTTCCTTGGTTTCCGTGTCCAAGACTCTCTTTTGCCTTTATTTTCTTTTTGTTCCAGAATTTCCTTCCAAGCCGCCAGCTGCCAAATATTGTAAGTCCACTCCTATGGCTATTAGCTCCGTCCAAAACCATCAAAGAAGCTGGCCCAAGCTAATTCCAAAGTAAAGTCCACCGCCACTTCTAGAAAAGGAGCCCAGTCGAATGGGCTTTGGCCCATTTCATTAATCCCCATCCAGCCGGGCTTTGAGTCCAGCTTTCGAGAATTGTTTTGCCGGTGCAACTTCTTTTTCGTGTTTTCTTCACCTGTAATACATCAAACTCATGGCACTGGGCAGTAATGGTTTTTCAACCATTCTCGGGTTAGCGAGCCCTAAAATAGCACCAATTGACTAAAACATACCATGAGATAATCACATAAAGTCCAAGAATCCGATATATTAAAGCCGAATATCAGCTTTCTTTATATGTTATCCATGTCTTGTGTCTCACCTTTAGGTCGGTCCATCACTTTAGTCGAACTTCACATAACTCATGTACCTTTATGTCAAGCCGAATTGACATGTTAGATGTCTTCACGTATAAATCTCTAACTATATATGTCAACTTATACCAACACCATGCTTGGCATGAATGTTAAGGAATTAATCAAATGTTATAGGTAGAGGCAGAGCTAGGAATTGACTTTCGGGAGGGTTGGATTTCTTAGTCTCACCGTAAAAATGCTTTACAAAGGAAAATATTTTTCATATTACAATAGTTGTACTTTAGAGATGATTAAAGTCACTAAAAAAAAATCTAAACTACAATTTTCCAGCATGAAAATTTCAAAATGAATTAGATAGAAAATAAACAATTAATTAGGGGGTGTAAATGGGTCGGGTGGTTCGGGTTTGATCATTTTAATCACCCGGCCTATACACTAAGGTTTTGAAATCAAATCCAAAGCCACCCAAAAATTTTAAAACCGATTTGTTTATAGTTGGGGTTGGGTTGGTTGGAGATACTTTTAACTACCCAACACAACCCAAAAAAAAAAACTATTCTACACCACAAAATATTGTATGAATAATTAAATTTTTAAACACATGAATCAATACGAAAGGTATCAAAATGCATAAATGATATTTACATTTTAATGAAATACAATTTGCTTCAAAATAGGTTTAGTTTTTCCCACAAATATTTGTCAAAATAAACTAAAATGACTATTAAGAGAAAGCATTCACAATATATTATTCTTCTAAAATTGTACGTTCAAAAAATTATGTGAATTGTACCATGTATTAGATATACGTCTAAATTTTAAGTAGAAGTATGTATTACGTTATGGAAATCATATGAGAAAAATACGATAAAACATCTTAAATTTCTTACAAATATGTTTAGGATACGAACATTTATGATAATAGTCGATATACGAGTTGGGTCGGGTTTTACAAGTTGGATTGGGTCGGCTAGATCAGTTTACGAGTTGTTTTGTTCACCCCTACGAATATACATCTCATTTTCACTTAGTAAGATCTAAACTAAAAATTCTAGATTCGAAAAAAAACACACATTAATATTGCATTTTAATATAGTGTAATTCATCCTATTTTCATTATTAACAAATAAATATATTTTTATATCAATATTTGAATAACTGTATATTCGGTATCTGTTCAAATCTATACTCAACTTTAATAATTTGAAAGATGATTTGATATGATTTTTTATTAAGGTACTTGACAAAAACAGCCTTTTCAAAAACAAAATACAAACTTTGCTAGGACTTCAGTTAAGCCAAAAACAAAATTAGCTAGGACAAAGAGCGCAGACTAGCCACGGAGCTTGGATACGGTTTCCCGATCGGAGATCCATGGACCACAGACGGTATCTCCACAGGACTTAATTCTACGCTTTTTAAACTGAAATCTTTCACAGAGCATCATAAACTCAACGAGTTAGGTCACTTGTGGTGTGACCAAGGCACTACCTCCAAGTGGTAGGTCAGGATGAAGGAGGTTTGACACTTAAAAGGAGGAGACCGTCTTGGCTTCAAAGAAGTACATTGAATCGAGAGGAAAGGAAACACAGATACATGTAAATGTCGAACGTAGAAGTATCAAGAACCACTCCCGTAAGGCTAAGGCACACATCCTGAAAGCATGGGGGAAGTATGGTTCATCTCTACAATAAGTGGTAATCCGGAAAAGAAACTGCATTCAAACACTTCCTTTTCGGTCAAGAATTTGCCAGCTCCCATGAAAGACGATAAATGCAAGCCCAATCCAGAAAACCACACAGCGCAATCTGGGAATTCTGGAAACCTCCCCTCTATACAAATATCTCAGCCAGCAACAATACGAACATGTAACTCACCTGATCTACCTGCAAACACGCTGAACCACCAACCAAATAGCATGCCCTCCTTGTTTTAACGGGCTTGGGACCGTCCATGCACCGGCAAGTCGAGTGCACAGGCCAAGTTACATGCATAAGCCCTATTCTAGAACAACACGCAAGCATAGTCAAAGACAAGACAAGTCAAAGACGGTCAAGAGCCCAGACGATCCAACTTAATCAAGTACCATCCATGCAACTTCCTCGTACTAATGCAGGCAGCTACAAGCAAGATAACGATCCAACTAACGCGTCGAGGGACTATAACGTCCTCACACTATTACAGGCAGCAACAAGCAACACGGATCCTTCCTGGCATTCAAAATATTTCCAACACGCATGCAGCGCGAGAACCAGTACAAGGATAACAAGTCGTCCAATATTAGGGAGATGCATTACAGACTGAAGGATGAATGGAAGACCGAGAGCGAGCAATCAACCCAGAAACTCCAGTAGGCACTACCCGACCTTCTAATCCATCAATGCTGAGAGCACAACGAACAATATTTTCATTCACGTTCAACACTACAGGCACATATGGGAGGGCATAATCCAAGTAATCCTTCGTCGAAAGCAACGAAACTCACCCACCCTGCATAGGCCACCTGCAATATGGCGAGATCCAAGGCTCACTACCTCCAACCAAAAGAATCACCAAAAGTCTCCTGTTGAGATATGAACAGGTAACACGATGTTCATGTGAAGAAAGCAATCAAGCAAACCAAGCCCTGGATGGAAACCAGTATGACAGAAGAATCAGGAGCTAGGCAAGTCCAAATCAACCCTCCGGTTAGACATCCAACTACTGCTGGAAAAAAAGCGTGATAAAACTCAACACTCGTAGCAGTGATACACAATGAAACTATAAATCAAATGCTCATAGCATCAGAAATAAACACCAATTATCGCGTTGCTCTGGAGCATTTCCAATACTCCCATGCTGCAGCAATTGCCTTGTAGAATCATAAAACACCAGGATCACCAATGAGACAAACAAATAGCTGGGGGAGAACTACAACCACAATGTTGACAATGGCAAAGATTTATTGACAGCAAAGCAGAGCATCATTTATTGAACTAACATGGTACAGAGATTACAACCATGAGAACCACCAAACCATGCTGGTCAGCAGACGCTAATAGCAATACTTCGAACAGGAGGAATGACGCCATTCTAGACCAGTGTACCCTTACAATGAAAAGCAAGAGCAGCCAACAGCAAGCCAGAGGATGTCAGGACACCACAAGCTCATATCCATGCTCTGGTCAGATATGGATATGATAGACAAACCAAATGTCATACACTCTAAACGGTTCATTCTGAGAATGAAAAGCAAGAAATCACCATCGCCCAACCAGTGCAATACAACTCATTACAGCGCTCTTAACCAAGAGAGTGAAGTCATACTACTATAAAACTGGGAGAGCAAGAAACCCGTACTTGAAGTCAGATCCTGTAGACTAAGCCAGTAAGGTAGAAAAGCCAAAAGGACGAGCACTACATTATCTTCGAATGTACCTATACCTAGTGCCAGTTTCCCAGAAACGTTCTTTCCTTTGTCGATGCCACCCAACAACCAAAAAGGATGAGCTAACCTCGGAAGTAGTAGGACCAAATCAGCAGAAACAACGACCCATTAACATGCAGAAATCAGTGTGGCCTCACAAACATGTCAACGAACACTTGGAACCTACAAGTCAGCACATAACCAAGTCATTTGGAAAGAACATCACAGAAAAAAAGGGACTTGTCATCTCCGATCTCAGGCAGTAAGATCCAATCGCAGTAATATCTGCATGGAAAACATAATTTTGATGAAGGTAGGTCCAAAATACCAACAGAACAGTGAACAAAAGGCACATGCAGAAGGTCAATGGAAACGCTAGTGGATCTTCCACTAGCTCAGCGGAAATAGACATCAAACAAATGCAATCAACAACCACACATGGAAAACAAAGGAAAAAAGTAGACTGCGGCCTAAAGGTTCAGTATCTTAACAGATAAAAAATAAGATGAGAGTGTGGGGCAGAGCAATATGTAGAACAGTCTAAAGGAGCACCCTGCATGAACCCTCAATTCGTGACAACAGATATAACGAAGGTACGATATCATATCTCACTAGGGATCTAAGCGTGAAAAGGGTGCAAAATCAACCAACGAGCAGGCAGCCAACCCAAAAGAAGCCAACTACAAAATTACCACCAACAGAAACCATTGAAAAAAGCCACGAATCCTTCCCCAACCTGACCATCCTGTACCGCTGCACCGAGATAATACCGCAAACCCAAAGTGCACCATGTCACCATTTTTCCGAACAGCAGAAAACTACCTATAATGAAGCACAGACTATTCACAAAACCTCCCAACCACAATTCCAACTTGCCTAAACATGGCAGCTAAAACGCCCAAATAATAAAGACAGTAAGACACGAGCGAGACACGAGCCAAACCCTTCCCCATCCTGTGGGGCTTAACCGTGACATAATGCCGTAAACCCAAAGAGCACAATGTCACAAATTTTCCAAACAGCAGAAAACTACCTACAATGAAGCACAGACTGTCCACAAAACCTCCCAACCACAAGTCCATTGACAGATGACAGATACTGAACAACCCCGCAAAACACACATTATCACTAACTATCATGAGCCAAACCCTTCCCCATCCTGTGGGGCTTAACCGTGAGAAAATGCCGTAAACCCAAAGAGCACAATGTCACAAATTTTTCAAACAGCAGAAAACTACCTACAATGAAGCACAGACTGTCCACAAAACCTCCCAACCACAAGTCCATTGACAGATGACAGATACTGAACAACCCCGCAAAACACACATTATCACTAACCACTCATGTCGACATCCATGCAGAAGAAGGAAAAAGAATGATAAATTACTGCCCAATGGAATTCGAAATTAATATGTAGGAAGGTGAGGGTAAACCATGCCTTGATATCATGCTCGTTTTAGCATCCTACCTGCTAAAAGTGCTCCAAGCCAAGCATAGGTCCACCCTGAGAGTTACAACCCCAAAATTTACTGATTAAAATTATTGGAAGAAGACAAGAACCACAAAGCATTGTGCAATCTAAATTCCGAAAAACAATTAACCGGTAGGAGGGTCAAGTTACCGATGGCTTGACATTATGCTTGTTTTACCATCAACTCTGGCTACCTCTTCCCATAAGAGTTAGAAACTCCAAAATTACAACAAACAGAGAAAGCCAAGTAAAATGGAACACCAAAAAACTAGAAGACCTATCATATAACCGACTACTCCATGCTCACATATACAAATCTAAGTTCTTCCAACAAACACCTGTTGTTTTCTGAAGATCCAAAAAGTAAGACAGACGGGATAACAATACACTCCAATTTAGACGATGCTGAAACAACTCTCCAACCATCGAAGGCAGCAGAACGGCACAGCTTACTAATTGCTGCAACAGCCCGCTGAGTCAATTACCAAGAGAAAACATCAGCTCAAGATAAAAGTTAATCACAAATAGGCACCATCTGGTGAAACGAATTGAAATCTTAAATGTAGCTAAGAAGTAAATGGAAGAGAACTTAGTAAGATAAGGTTCCTGCATCGACGGGATGATACGCAGAACAGCCCAAAGCAACACCTTGCAGCAATCCAGATGATGCAGTACATCAAAACGAACTTACTAAAATAAGCCAGCTATAAAATCAAGAAATCAACCTGAAAAAGAAAAGACAGCCAAGACATAAAAGCAAAACCCTCCACCATCCGTTCCATCCTTGGCCACAGCAACCTGAGAACACACCAGCAAACCCAAATAGCACCATGTCACGAAACCAAACAGAAAACTACCTATAATGAAACACAGACTGTCCACAAAACCTCCCAACCACAAGACCGTTATCACCCATGCAAAGCACATGCTGTCACTAACCAACCATATTGACACCTGGGCAGAAGATAGAAGACAAATGGTGAAACAATGCGCAATGGAATTCCTAAACACGGTGAAAAACAATTAACAGGTAGGGAAGGGCAAGGGTAATCTATGTCTTCATATTACCAACAAAAAATCATAAGAGGAAGACAAGTACAATGAATCATTGTGCAATGGATATTCCAAAAACACAATGAAAAACTATTGAACATGTAGGAAGGTAAGGTAACCCATATCTTGACATTAAGCTCGGCTTAGCTTCCTATCTGATAAAGATGCCCCAAACCAGCATACCCCCTGAGAGTTAAAACCCCAAAATTACCACCAACAGAATTCAAAGGAGGAAGCCAAGAACACAATGGAATTAGAAGATTTATCAATTGACTACTCCCAGATCAGATATGCAGATCTTTCCAACATAACTCAGCACAAGATTGACACTACATAGTCATGGCTACAGCAGCCCGATGAAGCCAGTTAGCCCGGGAAAATATCTGCTGAGGATGAAAATTGGTCACAAATAGTCGCAGTCTCACTGGCGAAGAGAATTTATATCTAATATCTAACACTAAAAGTGAAGGAAATAGAAGAACTTAGTGATGTAATGTTCTTGCATCCACAGAACAATATGCAGAACAGTCCAAAGCAACACCTTGCAGCAATCCAGGTGTGGTAATACATCAAAACGGATTTACTTAAACATGACCACTGTAAGAACAAGAAACGAGCCAGAAAATGAATGCTAAGACACATAGCCGAACACTTCCCCATCCAATCCATCGGATCCATCCTAGCATCCTGCGCCGCTGCAGCCTAAGAAAACACTGGCAAACCAAAAGAGCACCATGTCACCAACCCAAACCCAAACAACAGAAAACTACCGGTAATGAAACACAGTCTGTCCACAAAACCACCCAACCACAGGACAAATGAGCCAGATACGATTCACCCGACAAAGTACATGCTGTCATAAACCAATCATGTCGACATCTGTGCAAAAGATGGAAGAAGAATGATTAATCATTGCTCAATGGAAATCATGAAACCAGTGAAAAACAAGGGGTAAGGGTGACCCATGTCTCGACATTATACTCGGTTAAGCGCCCTATCTGTGCTAAAGACGATCCATCCAAGCTACCATAGTACGTCTCCCCCTGAGAGTTACAACCCCGAAGTTACCAACAACAAAAATCGAAGGAGGAAGCCAACAACAATGGAACAGGGAACCAGAAAATTTATCAAATAACAGACTAATCCCTGATAATATATACGAATCTAAGTTCATACGAACATCCACCAGTTCCTGAAGTTTCAAAAAATCTGAAACATGGGATAACCATTGAACTCCAATCCAGAAGATCCTCAGTAGACTAAAGTCTACTAGCCAGGAAACATCTGCTCAGGATGGAAAAATAGTAAAGTAGTCACCGCCCAACATGAAGGGAATTGACATCTAAAATCTAACCCAAAAGTGAAAGAAAGAGAAAACTTAGTAGGACAAGGTTCCTGCATCCCCAGAATGATGGGAAGAGAACAGTCCAAATCAACACCCTGCAGCAGTCCATAAGTGGTAGAATATCAAAACGAACTCACTTAAAAACAGCTATAGAAACAAGCAAACAACCCGAAAAGGAAAGAGAAGCAAGACATAAGCAAACCATTCCGCATTCGTCAAGTCCTGTGCCACTGCACCTGAGAAACACCGGCAAACCCAACGAGTACGATGTCACCATTCACCAACCCAAACAACAGAAAACTACTCATAATGAAACACAGGACATCCATTAAACCTCCCAACCACAAGACCATTGACAGATACCGATCACCCCGCAAAGCACACTCTGTCACTAGACATGTTGACATCTCTGCAGAAGATGGAAGAAGAATGATAAATCATAGCACACCAGACATTTTGAAAAAGCGGCGAAAAACAGTTAACAGGTAGGAAGGTATGGGTAACCAATGTTAACATGATGCTCGGTACTGCATCCCATCTGCTAAAGATACTCCAAGCCCAGCAGAGTTCATCTCCCCCTGAGAGTTACAACCCAAAATAGCCACCAACAAGAAATCAGAGGAGGAAGCCAAGAACAACGGAACATTGGAAAGCCAGAATAATTATATCATATAACCGAGTACTCCCTGAACAGATATACGGATCTAAGTTCTTCCAACTAACACCACTTAGTTCCTGAAGATCCAAAAAGCCAGAAAGAACAATTGAACTCCAATTCAAAAGATACTGAAAAAACTCTGTAACCATCCGAGGCAGAAGAATGACACAAGATACTTATCGGTACGGTAGCCCCTTAATTCAATTAGTCGGAGGACATCTGTTCAGGGTGAGAATACGACAGGAATCACATCTCCATCGCCAAGGGAACAGTAAAAATCAATTGAAAACAAACGCAAGTGAAGGAGAAAGAAGAACAAGACTCCTGCATCCTGGAAGAGCAAGCCTCCAACCTGCAGATACCAATCTGCAAATCAAATCCGGTAGAATATGTTTTTCACAATCAACGAATACCAAAAGGGTAGAAAACCAGTCAATGATGTCAATAAGCGACGGATATGACTCCCTCTCCAGCACATTGAGCAATCGATCGTCCTTCCAGGTCCTAAGTTATTCAACGAGAAGCACCAAATCAACCACCGCCAAACAGAAGGGATTAATTTAGATAACCAAAATCCAAATACACAGATACTCGTGATCTACAACCACGGACTCTACGGAAAGAGGAGAAGGAATCCATGAGTGCACATCCCGGCACAGATCGCACTTCGAGGTCCTAAATCGGGCAACAAGAAACAACAAATCAACCGCTGCCGAACCGAAGTGGTAAACCAACCAATCCATATTACTCGATACAAATACTCGGGATCTTCGGCTCCAAGGCCTACAGGAAAAAGACGAGCTCCCAGCGGAGATCCATGGCTCTACGACTCTAGAAATCACCAGATCAACGAACACAACGACAGTTAGAGAAGCCAGAGAGCAGAATCATCGATCCAAGAACAAGATACGCATAGCCACGATCAGACAAGCAAGTCGCGATTCAAATTGAAGAAAATCTGAGAAGAAGAAAACTCCTCGCCCTCTGCAGATGAACGGGAAACACGGCCAAGATTGGAAGAACGCCGCAAGTTTCTCGTCAACTCAAAATCCTAGATCATCCAACAAAAACAACACATCAACCGCAGGGCAGAACTTTCCAATTCAGAATCGATATTATCTACCACCATAAAATCATTATCATCGACTACCGCATCCGCAAGAAACGGAGACCAAACCAAAATCATCAAGAAGGCGAGGAACGCAGGTATCGATCAACAAGCAGGAGCCATATCCAGAGAAAAAAACTGAAGAACGTAACAGAGACGGCTACGGCAGATCCACGATAGAGAAGCCAAGGCAAAAGATGACAACCTATAATCACAACATAAGCATATTCACCGGGAGGCTGAAAGGAGAGCGTTGTAAAAAAGAAAAGACGAAGGAGAGAGAGAGAGAGAAATCATCGGAATCGCCGGCAGCGATGGCGAAAAGGAGAGATCGGATGAGGAGAGAAGCACGATCGCACAATTATCAGGCAATGCGAATGCGAGATGAAGAGGGGGGAACTGGTTACTATTTATAAGCTGTGGCCTGGAGCGATGGAGGGCTGGGATTTAGCGGTGATCGAGGCGATTAGACGGCTGCGATTTCTTCTATTACCATTTTTTTCCGTTTCATTATTGATTGATTAAGTTTTCTTAAGTCGGTTGTTGTCGTTGATAAGATTTGGTCAGAGGAGGTGGGCTGGCGTGAATTAAACGCGTATTTGTTTTCCTTTACCTTTTTAATTTTGTACTCGTTTTTCTTCTTTTTCTCAAAGAAAAGGAAACATAAATAAATCGTCATTTTTAGTGATGAAACTAAAATTAAATAAAGATTGTTCGACAATGGTGGCTAAGCTACTGGACGGAATCCAGGATGAGAATAGAGAAGCAGTTGTTTCATGTTTGTCAAGCCCACAGATTCTGTTTTGTAGCTGCTGCACCTGCATGTGTCTCCATTTCCTTTTATATTACCGTTAAGAGGAGCGGAGTCGGGATGTAGAGATCGACAGAACAAACCAATGTCGTAATTTATTCAATATTCTTTGAAATTAATTTAAACTAAAAAATTGAAAATTGAAAAGTTTAGTTTTTTTTTTATCATAGATAGGTGTATATCATTATCGATAGATGTACAATGCAGTATGCTTACAACTATGTAGTAAATGAAATAAACAAATGCGGTGGTCGATAACTAATCAATCCGCCGATAAAAGAGCTTTTTTAGCCACTAAATGGGCAACCCTCTCAGTATCCTAAGAGACGCAACAAAGGATACAAGCGGGTACACAACACACGCCAAAGCCAGAGAAGCCGGAGGATATATCATTCTTGCCGATAGCAAAAGCAGAGCAGTCGTTCCCTACAAAATGAACCAACAAAAGGCAAAAAGAAACACATCTAGGTCTAGCCTCCAAAGAAAGCTTCAGGATAAAGCTCACTAGCCAACACAGGTTCACCCGAACCAAACAACGCCAACGTCCAAGGCTTGAGAAAAGTCTATCAGCTCCCCAAAAGCTACAGCAGGGCCTCCAGTATCAAGCCATCTGACTCTGCCGTAAGTTCTGGGGACTAGAACAGCTGTATAAGAAAATTCACCTGCAAAATGAACAAACACGCCACAACTAGGCAAGTTCGCGAGCTTTAAAAAAATTCCAAGCAACCGCATCCAAATATAGCTTGGGGAAATGTATAGCTACCATAACAGCGCCATCAATTAGTTAAACAAGAATAAAAGTTAACACTGCAACCTTAGCAGGCTGGTACTTAAACTAGATTGAAAGCATACAAAAAGATAAATATGATGGCCATCCCAAACGATGATAAATGGGACAAGATCCAAAGTTAAAACTCATTGATAGTCAGCTAAGATTCAGATCAAACAATTAGGAAAAACCCTAGCTCCGTGAATATCGGAGCGGCGCATTGTCTCCCGAGCTCGTGCTTTAGTGAGTTCCACCGATGAGCACGCCGCCGCCGGGGACGGACCCCCCGGAGTGCCATCTCCCGGATGCTAACCAAGGTGTTCGACGTCCGGCTGTCGTGACGTCCTCGCCGAACGGCAAAGGTGAGAAGGAAACACAGCAAGCTAAGAAGCGGCCTCGTTCAGTGATTGCCAACCCCCTGTTCGCCCCTGAAGCGGTGATGGAGGACGCAACGACGACTGCTGTTGGGGAGGGGAAACCTGCCAGCCCAACCCCAGTTAGCCCCGCCCGGAGGACCCCGTCTGCATGGGATCAGGGGACGAAGAAACTGTTTAGGGATCCAATCCCGGAGGAGATGTGGTATGTAGCGGATTCCGATTCGGAGGACGTCGCAGAGGCAATGAGAGAGGAAGATTGTGATGATGAAATCCCAGAGGACGATGATCCGAGATGTCCGACGATTCCCTTCAAAGCTATGGAGAAGCTTCGCTATAGGCGCAAATGGCGTTCCGCCCTCGTTGTCAAGGTCCTAGGCAGGACGTACTCGTATCCAGTCCTAGCCAAGCGGTTGGAGTCTCTATGGGCGAAAGATGGATTCCTACAGATTAATAGCATTTCGTGGGGGTTCTACGTTGTCCGGTTCACACATCAGCTCGACTATGAACGAGCAGCGGCTGGCGGACCTTGGATGATCGGTGAGCATTATCTCACGGTTAGGCCATGGAGGAAGGGATTCGACCCCAAATCCGCGGAGGTTGCTTCTACTCTAGTCTGGGCGAAACTCTTAGCCCTCCCGATCGAGTTTGTGAACAGGGAGGCCGTGGAAAGGATTGCTTCCCGTATGGGGAAGCCGGTCAGAGTTGACCGTGCCACTCAAGCTGGGGAGCGAGGGAAGTACGCGAGAGTTTGCGTTGAAATTGATTTGACCAAACCACTCCTGTCGTGCTTCAAAATTGAGGGTAAAAAATACTACATTGAGTATGAAGGACTCCATAACATATGCACGGAGTGCGGAAAGTATGGCCATGCAAAGACCACGTGCCCACTGCTATGGAAAGCTCCTTCCCCAGAACCCAAGGAGGTGAATGAAACGGTCGAGGTGCAGGCGGCAGAAAAGGATCCGGTCTATGGGGAATGGATGGTAGCAAAAACCAAACAAAGGAAGAGCAAGCAAGGAGGAAACCAGCCTCAAGAGCGCTCTCAACCACAAGGGCGCAATAGTGCTCCTGTGACCCCGGGGTCTCGTTTTCAGGTCCTTGCTGCAGAGCATGAGGTGAATGGTATGGATACGGAGGTCGGACATAACACTAGTGGACAAAATGGGACCACTCCGCAACCTACGCAAGAACGTACAACCGAGGGGGAGATAAGTAAGGATGGACGTGAGAGTAATACACCTACCGAGAAAACATCATCACAATTTGGTGAGGGGCTGGTGAATGTGCCTGTCGCTGAGGCGAGCGCGGCGATCACCTTCTCGACTAAGAAGACCGCTGCCAGCGCCGAAAGGGAGGGGGTGAATAAACAAAAACCAGCTCGAGTAACGGCGGGGCAATCGGGGAAAGGGACAGTGAGAAAACAGGGGGGAGCTGCCCCAGTCACAAAGGGGAAGGTGAGGAACCAGCAACGAGATCCGAGCAAGGCCAGTAAAGCTCTCTCGGGTCAGGGTGATACAACGGGGACTTCCAACGGTCTCCGAGTGAACAAAATGGACACACGGAACTGTGCGAGTATCCACGGGGAGTCTTCCCCTCTGGGGAGCGGATCCCTCCATCGTTATCCTCCTAGCCGTGGGGCTTTCCAGGGAAGTCCTCGCTCCTTTCTTGTACATATTTTTATGTTGAGTATCCTGTCATGGAACTGCCAAGGGGCAGGAAATGATTCGTTTTTAGCTTATCTCTCTTATTTTTGTGGGCCTCATCGGCCGGACTTAGTCTTTATTGTTGAGCCTCGTATTAGCGGAGAGGTGGCTCGTAATGTAATCACCCGCTCTGGGTTTGATGGTCTACTCCGGGTGGATGCTGCTGGTTTTGCAGGAGGAATTTGGGTGCTATGGAAACAACAGGAGCTCCAAGTTACTCAGCTGGACGTGTCTAAACAAATGATTCACATGGTTTGTAAGAAGAAAGATCAAGACAGTGGTGAGATCTTTCTCTCGGCGATTTATGGGAGCCCCAATTCAGCTGACAGGGGAGATCTGTGGGCGGACATTAGAAGAATAAGTCAAGTCACTTGGGGGCCTTGGTTGTTAGCGGGTGATTTTAATTCTATTCTCAGTCCCCAAGACCGCAAAGGTGGCGTGCAGTTTCAAGTTGCCCGAACTAGAGATTTTCGTAGTTGTATGGACGACAGTGGCCTTATTGATGCGGGATTCTCAGGACCGCGGTTCACATGGAAGCGGGGGAATCTGTTCCAGAGACTTGACAGGGCGCTGAGCAATAAGCAGTGGTTAATGCGGTTTTCCAATACTGTTGTGCGCCATCTGGAGAGGGTTGGATCGGATCACCGTCCAATTTTGGTAGTCGCCGATCCGGGTAATAGCAAGGGGAAGAGTACTTGGCCATTTCGTTTTCTTGCACCCTGGATTGCCCACGACGACTTCAAGCGTGTGATGCAGGAGAGCTGGCAGGGGGAGGCAACTCTTCCGCAGGCTTTGAAGAAGCTCTCCACGGACCTTGTACACTGGAACGTGGAGGTTTTCGGACACATTCAGAAAAAAAAGAGAACCCTGTCCAAGCAGCTCTACAAAATGGAAAAATTAAATGAATCGCGGGCAACGCAGAGGTCAGTTGAGCTTGAGGAATCACTCCGAAAGGAGCTTGAGACAACCCTCTGGCAGGAACAGTTATTGTGGTATCAAAAATCCAGAGCTACTTGGATCACTCTAGGTGACCGTAACACGAGGTACTTTCACCTATCTACCCTGCGTCGGCGACGTTGGAATAAGGTGTTGGGACTGCGAGACAATGAAGGGCGCTGGATTTATGATGAGAAACTCCTCCGGGATATGGCGGTAGATTTTTTCACCAACCTCTTCCAGGCGGAGTTGGGTCCAGGGCCGAGGCTTCCGTTGGGCTTTCCAAGCCTAGACAGCCGTGACTACCAAAGCTTGGAGCGCAGTGTCCTTGGCAAGGAAATTCAGCAGGCTATTAAGAGTATGGGTGCTTTTAAAGCACCGGGCAAGGACGGATTCCAACCACTCTTCTACCAAAAATGCTGGGAGACGGTTGGGAACTCGCTGGTAGCATTTGTGACAGCCTGCTTCTCGCAACCTGTGCTCATCCGGTCGGTTAACGAGACTCTGTTGGTGCTCATTCCGAAGAAGGAGAGTCCGGATTCCTTGAAGCTGTTCCGGCCGATCAGCCTCTGCAATGTAGCATACAAGACTGTGGCTAAATGCGTGGTTCAACGGATCCAACCCCTCATGCGCCGACTAGTCCACCCCACTCAAACCAGCTTTGTTCCTGGGCGTCACATATCTAGCAATATCATCATCGTCCAGGAGGTTGTTCATTCGATGGGACTTAAGAAGGAAAGGAAAGGACAGATGATTCTTAAAGTAGACCTAGCTAAAGCGTATGACAGGCTGAGCTGGTCGTTCATCAGAGATACTCTCCAGGAAGTTGGCTTTCCTCCCACTCTCATTAACGTGATCATGGAATGTGTGACCTCTTCCTCGATGCAGGTTCTTTGGAATGGCAGCTGCACGGAGTCTTTCATCCCTTCTAGGGGGATCCGCCAGGGCTGCCCACTATCACCATATATCTTCACACTGTGCATGGAGAAGCTGAGCCACATCATTCAGGATGCTGTCCAGAAAGGGGATTGGAAGCCGATCCGTACTTCCCCAGGCGGTCCAGCCTTAACTCATGTCTTTTTTGCTGATGATCTAATCTTGTTTGCAGAAGCCAGTGAGGAGCAGGGTGAGGTGATTATGGACTGTCTCGACTGTTTCAGTCAGGCATCGGGCCAGCAGGTTAGCAGAGAGAAGTCGGTAGTCTTCTTCTCTGAGAACACTACAATACAGAAAAGTACTCTCATTGCAAATCGTATGGGCATACCTATGACGCAGGACCTGAGGCGGTACCTTGGTGTACCAGTGCTGCATGGGAGGGTAACTAAGCAAACTTATAAGTATATTTTAGACCGCATTGACAATAAACTTGCAGGATGGGCGGCCAAGAACCTCACTCTTGCAGGGCGTGCAACCTTGGCAATGTCGGTCATTAGCGCCCTTCCCACTTATGCTATGCAAACCTCGTTCCTCCCCATCTCAATCTGCGATGAGATTGATAAGAAGACTCGCAGTTTCATTTGGGGCGCCACGGGTAACAAGAGGAAGATCCATCTAGTCCACTGGGAGGGCGTCTGCCAGCCTAAACGGGATGGGGGTCTGGGTTTTAGGAAGGCGCATGAATTAAACTTGGCCTTTCTGGCAAAGCTAACCTGGCAGTTTATTAAAAATCCCGAGGAGCTGTGGGTGCAGGTACTCCAGGCGAAATACTTTAAATCTGTGAATGGAGTTACTGTGGCTAAGTCTTTGGCTCGCGCGTCCTCTCTTTGGCGTGGAATGAGGAAAGCTTGGCCGGTCATGGAGGCGGGGATGCTGATGCGGATGCGGGATGGAGAGTCGACCAGTATGTGGGCTGATCACTGGGTCGCGCCGGGGGTGGTCCTTCTAGATCACCTGCTCGAAGGATGCCCGCCGATTGACATTAACAGCTGCGTGGCTGCGTTTGCCCCTAATGGTAAGTGGGACCTTGATTTATTGGCGCTCTACTTACCGGAGGAAATGATCTTGCAGATAGCAGGGACAGAACCGCCGAGGGAAGGTGCAGGGGAGGATGAACCTATCTGGGGGCCGGAAGTGCAAGGACAATTCAGTGTCCGTTCGGCGTATGCTCTGGCAGCGAACCTAGAGGAGAGCAGCAGCAAGACGCGTTGGAAGGCTATCTGGAACTGGGCGGGTCCGGAAAGAGTGCGGCATTTTCTCTGGTTAGCTGCTCGCGAGCGACTTCTCACCAACACTGAGCGGGAGCGGAGGAAACTGACGTCTCGAAACCAGTGCGGAAGCTGCAATGGAGAACCAGAGACAGTCCTGCATGTGTTGCGGGATTGTCCCTTTGCCAGGTTAACTTGGATGAAGCTAATCCCACCTTCTGATTATCACCAATTTTTCGGAGACAGTTTGCAGGATTGGATTGAAAAGAACCTCAAGGCCGAGCATACTGCCCTCAGTTTTGGCCTTATCTGCTGGTCTCTTTGGAAGACCAGGAACGATCGAGTCTTTGCAGGCAAGATTATGACAACTGAAGGCTTTGTACAGCGCGTCCAGGCTTGGATAACTGTCGTGAGAAACGCTTTGGACAAGGATAGGCTTCTTCATACACCTAATCCGCCCGCTAGAACGGAGGTGGAGATCTCGTGGAAGCCGCCACCTCCTGAGTGGGTCACCCTCAACACAGACGGCTCCGTCGCACAGGATACAGGTCACGCCGCAGCTGGTGGCCTGATAAGAGATCATACGGGCAGGTGCCTTCAGGCATTTGTGATGAACCTGGGGATGTGCTCTATTGCCCGGGCGGAGTTGAGGGGCGCTGTAGAAGGACTTCAGTTGGCTTGGGATGCTGGATATAGACATGTCAGACTTGAGTTGGACTCCGCTGGTGCGGTACAGCTGCTACGGAGTCCTGACTCTTCGGAGCATCACCATGCAGCCATCACCGATAGAGCTTTTGAGCTGCTTCAGAGACAGTGGGAGGTTGAAATTACCCACATTTACAGAGAAGGCAATAAGAGTGCCGACTATCTTGCTAGTAGAGGTCACCATGTACCTTTGGGTGTTCATTTGTTTCCGATCACAGACCCTATCCTGTATAACTGGATCTTGTATGATGTTCAGGGGATCTCCGAACCCCGGGTGATTATAAATGAAAGGTAGGGTGCAACTGCATCCATTTAATCAAATAAAGCTAAGATTCAGGACATATAAAAATAATATAAGCAAATAACAAGCAATTAGGACTCGAAGTAACGCAACAGAGAGAGGCGAATCCGGAGCTTGAAACTAGAAAGCTAGTAAGAGACAATTGCACCTCGCAAGGTAACAAAAGAATCAGGAAGGAAGTTAAACAATTAGATGAAGATGAGAGAGGAGAGGGACAAATATGTGAAAGTGGTAAGTATAGGTGTAAATCGGGCGGGTTTGGGCTGGGTTTAATTGGGTTGTGGGTTTGTCAGGTTGTGGGTTTGTCGGGTTGGGTTCAATCGGGTTGCGGGTGAGTGAGGTTGCGGGTTGATCGGGTTGGGGTTCAATCGGGTTGCGGGTGAGTCAGGTTGCGGGTTGATCGGGTTCGGGTTCAATCGGGTTGCGGGCAAATCAGGTTCGAGTTCATCGGGTTTCGGACCGGACGGGTTGCGGGCGGATTGGGTTGCGGGTTGTGCGGGTCAATGCATCGAGTTACTTACTCATTACCAACTTACACATTTTATTAAACTAATTTAAAATAATTTTCAAAATTTTTAACCAATTTCTTTCTACCTTGTATATATACTTAATTAAAAAAACTAGTCAAATGTTGAATCAATTTGTATGACTTGCAAACTTGTCATGTAATTAATCGTAACTGGTAAAGTTCACTAGCTAATAGTAATGGTAATATCAATATTTGTAATCAATACATTATTAACAAACCATACATTCAGTAAACAAAACACTAAGCAAAGAAGAAAAACACTTTTCCTATCTCAACATTTTTGTGCAGCAATATAGATTAACCCAAACCACAAAGCAAACTTCCACCCTATCTATAATAAGATTTACTATAAACAATGTCTTAGTAACTAAATGCTAAACTCTTAATTCATAACTATAAATATTGTGATAATCACAATGGTAAATAATTAAGTATATGATATAAAATATAAAATAATCTGCATTTAAGATAGTTCGAGTGACATTTTTAAGATAAGATAACTAACTACAACAAAAAAGTGTTTTGTATCGGTTGTATTGTGTCGGTTAAGTGAACCGACACAAATTTTATGATTCGTGTCGGGTTTGCGTCGGTTACCGACACAATTTTTTTAGCTATTAGTGTCGGTTTAAACCAACACAAAATTATAAATTACGTTGGTTTTTCACCTATACAAAATGATTTTTTTTTAAATTAGTTTCACATTATTAGTCGAACTTAAATTTTATTTTTTTAGAGGTTTGGCTACAAATTTCACAATCACCATTCACCGCCCAACATTTCATCATCACCCGCTCACCACAATTGAAATTTGAAATACCGCTAGCTAATAGTAATGGTGATATCAACATTAACATCCAAAAGACACCATTAATTGTTTATTTGATATTTTAGTATTATTTGAGTAGTGTAATTGGATAAAAGTATCTCATTTAGTATAACCATGAAAATGTGGTATTTGGCGTGTGGTATTTGGCAAAAGCAGAGTGATAAAAGGAGTTTTTTCGAAATAACTCATTGCCCAAATAACTTCAGTAAACTGTTGCCAAACGATTTATTTGTAAAATTGTTCGAATTATCCTAAGATTATACGATGAAGCTGAAGATGGAGGGTTCGTGGAGTTGGACGAAGCTTCCAACAACGGCTCTTTAAATTATTTCGGAGTAATAAGCATAGGCACAATGTGGCAGGCTGGCAGCTTCGTGGAGGTGCAGTAAAGGGGAACTCGTGCTAGCGAATTGGCCGATAGCTAGTGGGAACTAATTTGAAGCTTACAGTTTGCTGATAGAGAGCTATTTGAGGATGGACTAGGTGAAGTTCGGGTTGAAAAACTTTATTTTGAAAAACTATGTATTGTATATTATAATAATTATTCAAGTGGACTAGGTGAAGTTCGGGTTGAGTCGGCCGGGTTACGACTTAGTCGGGTTCGGGTCAATCGGGTTCGGGTTAATCGGGTTGCGGGTCAGTCGGGTTGCAGGTCCATCGGGTTTGGGTTAATCGGGTTGCGGGTCAATCGGGTTGCGGGTTAGTCGGGTTGCGGGTCGGGCGGGTTACGGGTTGTTGACTTTTTGTCAATTCAGGTTGCGGTCGGGTTGCAGGTCGAGTTGATCGGGCGGGTTAATCGGATCGGGCTATGTTTTGACACCTATAGTAGTAAGCCCATTGAGAGGTTATAAACAAAACATCTAGTGTAGATTACAAGGTTATAAACAACCTGAGTTCAACTAGCATAGATTACAAGGTGGGTGAATTGCAAGTTTGGCCACACATATTATCTAATTGTAACAGGTTAGCCACTCGAATTATTTTTGCTTCAATATAGCCATTGATATTGCACACTTATATCATCTTTGGTTACTCGCCGTTTAGTTCCGTTAAATCTGTCCTATGTGGCAGTCAACAGTTAAGTTTAACTGTTAAAATGGTGACGTGGCAACAACCTGACCGACACATGGACGCCACCTTTGCAGCCATGTCATAATTTAATTCAAAATTATTTAATATATTATAAAAATGGAAAAATTAAATTGGAAAAATTGGAAAAACCAAAATCGAACCCTCCCCTCGGAAACCCGACGCCATTAACCCCAAAGGCCAAAACAGATCCCTCGCCGAGCGTTGCGACAGATTCGACCCAAGCAGTTTCGGGTTCAACATCGACGCTAACCAACCGGAGGCTGAACAGATCGAGGAGGATGAATGGGAAGGCTAAGACGCAGGAGAGGCGAAGATGTACGAGTGGCTGTCGAAATCGTGGCCGCCGCTACGGATTCAGATGTGGAGTTGAGACAGATGACGACGATGCAACGAACCAGACGCCGGCGGCAAGAAGCAGATGACGCCGGTCTCAACCAGAAGAGGCTTTATTGCCGTCCCGACATCCGAAGTCTGCTCTTTAGCTGAATTCGAAGCACTTTTTACTACACTTGGTTGCGCCAACCAGACACGATTTCACAAATCAATTCGACATAAAATTTACAATTGGTTACTGAAATGTGAAATCAAAATTTTGGGTGATTCGATGGATAACAAGAATCATACGACAAAGGAGAAGAAAACAGAGGAGGCCACTAAGTTTGGATCGGACAACCTTGATGGTGGCAATTGAAGGAGAGATCGTCAGCATTCAGATCTGGCGACGACATGGCTGAAAGGGAGATGGTCGGAGTTATGTGTCTGCTTCTTCACCTCTTCTCGCTTCTCCACCTCCTCGCAATCGGCGGCCTCGGCTGGGAAAATCAAGTCCGCCACGGGAACTGCTCGCAACTAATAACAGCGGTCGGCGACGCCGGGTTTTCTTGGAATAGGGGAGAAAGGCAGGGGAGGTAGGGGCGGGTCAAATGGTATTGGCGGCAGCACAAGAAAAAGTGAGAGGGGCGGAGTTAGTGCGTAGGGTTTTCTTCTCTTGTTTTTCATTTTTCTTATTTTATATTAAAAATAATATTTTTTTTATTGTCACGTCACCATTTGACTAGTCAAACTTAACTGTTGACTGGCACTGTCACGTAGGGCAGATTTAACGGAACTGGACGGCGAGTGACCAAGGATGACATAAATGTGTAGTATTAGTGACTAAATTGAAGCGAAAATGATTCGGGTGGCTAACCTATTACAAATAAATAATATGGGTGACCAAACTTGCAATTCACCCATTGCAAGGTAATAAACAGAACAACAACAAAACCGTTTTAACATTGGTTTACACAAGAAAAGGGAAAACATAGACATCCTCGGATAGAGAGAGCCCCGTACTGACAATATACCACAAGTAAAAGAAGGGCCGCCAGACTATTATACAACTATCGAGGAGTCACCTATGCACAATGTCAAAATGTCACACACGAGAAGAGGTAGAAGACTTCAAAACTCTGCCATCTCAGCGTTAGAACAACGCCGTTTGGGAGTAGGATCACTATCAGAAAAAGCCCTTTCGCATCCAGGTCTAGCTTGCGTAGAGTGGATTCATCAACCCTTGGTCCACGTTCCGATGCCAGCAACCACAGGCCATAAGCCGGGGGAGAGCTTGAAAGTTCAGCTTTCCTAGGGCAGGATTGGCCAATATGTCCGATAATTCCACAGTAGAAGCAAAATGGGAAGGATTTACAGCATTGAAGTATTTGATTAATTAATTAACTTAGTTTGAACTTGAAGTATTGATAAAATTGTAGCATGAAAGTTAAGATGACCAAATTTATAACAAATTAAATCTCATAAGTAAACAAAACTAACATAACTAGGGAGTAGGGATGATAATGTGGCGGGTTTGGGGAGGGTTCCTCATTCCAAAAAATTCATATATGTATCATACTCATATGGATAGAAGTTTTGTAATCTCATCTCCATACTCGCGATTTTCGGGTATCCATGAGTAATGCACGCCCTATAATATCAAATATTATTATACCTAAAAATAATACAATAAAGCTTACCAAACATGTAAATATATATCGGTCCATAAGTCAATCACAATTGTCAGCATCCATTACTTTTTTCAGTCGTTTGGATGTGGAAATGTAATGCAGTATTTGGATCCAATTACCACATAATGCAGTAATAGGGTTAAAAACCAACATTTGGGAGAGTAAAAAGGGACCTAAAGTATTTATTTGTAATTCTCAAAATTAGTTTAAAAACCAAATTTATCTCATACATTAGTTTATACGTAATTATCAAAACTCATAAAGCATTTATTTGTAATTCTCAAAATTATCGGGTGACTAAGGTCCAAGAGACCTAAGATGACTCGGCCCTGACAGCTATAAGACTAACTCCAACTCATCCACTTAATTTTAGCCCCCTTCCTTCCAACACTCAAATTTAGCTCTCATTTCTCTTTTCAGTCCAACCCTAGTCCTCTCAAATTCAACCCCTCTCGTTTATAAATATATTTCGTATTAATCTTACTTGTAGGGATTCTAGTCTATTCTTTTCACTTTTTTTTTTATAGTTCTGCATCATTTTTAAGAGAACTTTTTTGATAAACTTTTGTCCAATTAGCCACTTGAACGACTAATATTTGTTAACCCTAACCTTTCGATACCAGAACGAGCTCGTATAAATGAAAGATGAAATAAAGAAAGAACGAAACGTTTTACAAATAATCATTGTTATAAGAACCAAATAGTTTAAATGGCTGCGCGAGTCGAACCACTAAATCAATTGCAATAGCGATTCAGTTTATTTTATTGGACGGATGGACTCAACGGTTTTTTATGGTTTGACATGAAACCAAATGAATCACCTTGGTTTAACTGGTCCACAATTTTAACCACAAAATATTAAGAAAAAATAAGTTAACATAAACTAAGATCGTCCAACCTCAATTACTAATTTTATTTATGCTTCCTTTTCTTCATTTCTCATCCTCCTTGTCAGCTTTATGTGGTCCACTACTGATTGCCACCCTAATTATTAACTTGAATTTAATAAAAATGATTTATTTTGTGAGAAGTTTGAATATTTTGTTAGAACTTTTTGGACTTTGGTGATAGATAACATGTATTTGAATGTGTTTATGTTTAGTGATAACTAGTACTCAGCCCGCGCTCCGCGGTGGGGTAAGTCTGACTTCAGTCATTTTGTAATTGTCATATTGAAATAGAAAACTTACTCTGGCCAATCCTCGGTCGCTCGGCATATGGCTTTTCGAAATTTCATCTGTGAGATGAAGAACTTAGCACGATAGATCACCTAGTATGAACATCAGATATTGATAAGACATGGGTCTACGTAAAATGTAGGTGCATAGTATAGTAATTTGTAATATATTTTGTCCCTTACGAACCTTGTGGCAAGTCTGATCAGATGCAAGCATAGTTTCTATGTCAGTGAGTGTCTTCTTTTCGATTCCTGATCGAAGGCAGCCTGTTTTCTTACCGGTATTGGCATCCATGTAGTAGACTTGCCTGCAACTATAAAGGAAACTGGTTGTGGCAAAAAAAGAAACAAAAGTGTTAATTGAATTTGTTTTGGCCGGCTCTACAAGAAAAATGATCTTTAACGGCTAAGTGTATTTGTTGCAATAAGTGATTTATGTGCCTCGATAGCCTTATAGCGGCACATAAGTGTGTGCTGTCAATACTGCTGGCGCTAAATCCCTTTAGCGGCAAATGTTAGCGACAAATATTATATGCTTCTAATTTACGAATTAGCGGCACATGATTTTGTTACTAATTTCACTTTTGAATAACTATTTTATGGTCATCTTTTCTCAAATTAGAGACATAAATATTTGCCAGTAATGGTATTTTTAGTGGCAAGTAGTTTTGCGGGTAATAAGTTTTAGTCTAATATAATTACCATTAAATTAATTTTGAAAATACAATATTTTGGGCATTTCATTTATGTATTTTTTGTTTTTTCTCGTATATATAATTTTATCAAAAACAGATTATTTATGTTTTGGGTAGAGTCAGTTCAATCGTCCAAGGGAAGGTTTAGAAGTTTGCGAGGAAGCTCATATGAACGACATCCATGTCCGACGAAGCAAGTCTTTGAAAAACATTTGCCCATTCTGGTTTGGGTCTTCTTTCTTCAGTATCACTTTGTGCAACTTGAAGACTCTATAGCTGCTATGACTCTGTAATCGATAATCAATAGATGCTGAAGGAAATAGAAGAAAACAACAAAAGAGGAGGAAACCAGTTAAGGAGAAACCCTATGTATGGTGATTGGAAGACCTGGAAGGGATCTTTAGAGTGGCCATCACTTTGTCATTCTAACAAGTCGCATAGCGTTTGTACTCTCTGCCAATGTACACATCTTCACGACACCATTGTTGCGTTGAAAGATAAGTGATGAGAGACAAAGAACGCTTCCGCCTTGAAGAATCATCTCTCTAATCTGATTCAACGAACCTCTTTCTCGTGTTTCAGTTAGCCTCCCTACGTATTGCTCCACAAAAGAAAATGATCTCTGAAATGAAAAAAAAGGAAAAAGAATCATCTCTATTAGTCCGCTTCTACATCTTCCATCATGCACGCACAGAGTCCAAATGTTGCTATGGAGTATATAATATAATCTCAATTAAGGAGTTTTATTCTCTGAATCTTGGGGAAGTTAACCACCACGTAATTATATATCCTTTAAAGTTTAAACAAAAGGAACGAAAATCTTGGTTAGTGGATATGTGTTGAGAAATCTTGTTTATGTTTATTTCTTTTTCTATAAATGGTTAGTTGTTTTTCTATTTTTCAAGAGATTGTTGTATCTATTGTTTATATATAAAATTTCCTATATTGTCGTTGGAACACAAGTAATTGGTGGGCATAATAATAAAAAAATCACAGATTTATTTATGTATCACAAATTTAGATGTAAAAGTAATGGCGGCTTCTAATATTTGTCTGCTAAACTGATAATTTCCCAACAAATCATTATTTGTCTCTATAAGACTATTAACTAAAACTTTAGAGGACAATCGTTGTAACTTTGCCTCTAAAAGCAACAAATTATTTAACATAATTTTTATATAAAATAATATAATATTATTTAAAGGCACATAATAATATAAATAGAGGCAGATTGTATATATGTTGTGTATAAGTACTTTTAGCAACTTATATTACACTTGCCTCCACAATTTAGCCGCTAAAGAGTGATTTTCTTGTAGTGAGTAAGTATGATTCAAAAAATGAATAGGATTCTGTTAAACTAAATGTACATGTGCATGATTTCCCGGACTGGGACTGAATAAGATCTGATTATCAGCTCACTGGCAGGAGTGGATTCGAAACGATACTTGTATTTCTGGCTGGATAGAGGTGTCACCCGAATGACAGATTTGATTGTAACAATGAGAGGCAGATGAGTCTCAGCTGTCGGGGCATTCTCTAAGAACTTCGGTATATCGTATCCTCGATACTGAACAGTTGCCTTAGCGCCACTGTCAGTGACACGAATATGTGAGGTTGTTTATTCATACGATTCGCAAATTAAGATTTTATTCTACAAAATGTACCTCACATCTTGTACGACCATGTGAAATTCTTTGAGGGTACTGCGAATTGTTGTGGGAACACTGAGACGCCTTATGCATACAGTTATGTCTATGGGCAACAGAAAAGATTGTCATTTAAAAGCTTAAGTTTATTTCATTATGGCGAATAGATATAGCTAATGTACTTGTATGATAGTCGATGGTGTTTGTCTGAAGTGGTACCATCGAAAAAGCCATCCCAATGTCCCACCCAACAGGCAAGCGTGGGTCATCTGGGTCCTCCTCAATCCTGGAAATGTTTTGGTCGATGGTTATGTGTACCCTTAACTCTCCTGGAACGATCTTCGGATTTTCTCTTGCTGGTATTGCTTCAACCGAATTAAACCGATAAAGGTTCCCGACCTTTATCTTGCGAGAAATCTCGGTGATGTCTTTTTCATC